AATTTGGCAAAATGGACAGTCATCTTAGTCCACTTTTCATGAACTGCATGTTAACTGTAGTACTTCACTCATCTGCTTCCAGTGGACTTCGAACTCAGCACCTGGGCTGTATTTCATCAACAATTCGGTTCAGGGGTGTACCCACTGAGCTAGGCCAGTTGGTAAAGCACTGGAATGGTATAAGTCTGCATTACACACTTGTACTGATTTAGTACAGATTCTGAAGGAATGATCGACTCACCTCGAGGTCAACTCTGGGTCCTCGTCTGGTCAACTCGGGATCTGGTGAACTCAGGTCAGCTCGAGAAGAGGCGAAAACAGTCATCTCCTAGGAAGATTTTCATGACCGGCCGGTCAGGACCAGCCGGTCACCCAGGCGTGACGCCCGGGTAACCCGGTCATGGCAAAAAAAAAAAAAAAAAAGGCGGTGGGGTTTTTCCGTGCTCTCCGAGAGGAGCCGAAATCTGGGCTCTTTTCTTTTTTTGAGTGTTGGCTGTCAAGGGGGGGAAAGGGGAGTGTAAATGAATTTTAAAAGGGCTAAAGGGGGTTAAAGGGGGGTGCCTTAGTGTGATATGGTTATTTTCTTTTTTATCTTTAGTTCTGTGACGAATTCTGATGTGACGTCCCTCAGCCAAAAGTTGTTTGTATTGCAATTCTGCACAACATAATTTTTTTATAGATTTTTTTGGATTCGATTTNTTTTTTTGCGCTAGGGCTGCCCGGGGCCATGCCCGGCCGGTCACCCGGTCGTCAATCCGGGCTTGACATTGGGACCCGGGCGGCCGGGATATCTCCCTAGGTCATCTCCAAGACCCCAACAAACACCAAACTTGGCACACACAGACCTTGACCAAAAATAAAACAGGGCAAAAAAAGAGGGAAAAAGAAAACTTTAAAACAAATCCCCAAATGCACTTTTCAGTGTTGGGGGTGTTAACCTGGGGCTGAAAAGTGGGGGTCCCTATTATCCACTTATGGTCAGCTTGCATCATGGTCAACTCTTGTCCTGGTCAAATCAGGTTCTGACTGACTGGGGTCCTGGTCAACTCAGAACCTGGTTGACTTGGGTCTTGGTCAACTCAGACCTCGTCAACTCGGGTCATGGTTAAGTTAGCTCAGGTCCTGGTCCAAAAAAAAAAAAAAAAAAAAAAAAGCTCAGGTCCTGGTCAACCCAGCTCCTGTCGTGTTTCAAGCGTTCGGTGATAAATAATATTAAATAATAAATATCAATAATAAATTAATAATGTGTGTTGAGAAGGTAGTGCAGGGCTGAGGGGACTCTGGCATCTGAGCCAGCATCCCTGCCTCTGAGTCAGGCTTTGCTATATCTGTCCCCCATGCCGCCTATTGTTGCCATAAGCTATTGTTTTTTTGTTTTTTTTTTTGTTTTTTTTGTTTTTTTTTTAAGGTTGTGCAGGCTGAGGTATAGGCAGGCCCTACCCTGACATCCAGTGCTATAATCACGCTCCCACGGCACACGCAGGGCAGAGCAGGGCATTCCAAGGCGGGAGACTCCGAATGGTACCCAGTCCCTCAGCGACCCTCCTGCCACCAACTGTGTATGTTGTGAGCACAGTCAGCAGGACACCCAACGGACAAGACCCCCCATACAACATCTACACAGCCTTACAGCTGCCCACCCATACCCTGCAGGGGATGCAAATGCGCTGGAGTCCAATATGGCAGATTCCGATCGTGGCACTCACTCGAGCCAGCCAGGACTCGAACCCGCAGCCCTTGTCTTGCGACACAGGAACCTGCATAACACAGGCACCCGACGAACTGGGCTATTCCCTACATAATGTCTGTTCGCCATAAAGTTGGCATAAACTATTAAATGAGTATAGCGATTGGTAGAATGTGTCTCTGAGTCAGGCTTCACTATATCTATCCCCATACCACCTGTAGTTGCCATAAGCGAGCAGAAGCATGTCCTGCAGCAGATCACGAAAAGACATCTATTGAGTCTAGCAGCAGCAGCATGTCCTGCAGCAGCAGCAGCATGTCCTGCAGCAGCTGCAGCAGCAGCGAGCAGAAGCAGTGGCTGGTGACGTTCACGAAAAGACAACAGCAACAGCAGCAGCAGCAGATGAAGCAGATCTGCAGCAGTCTGACCTTCAGGTGAAGCAGCAGATCTGCAGCAGTTCCAGCAGATGGAGCAGATGGAGCAGATTTTCTGCAGACGTAACAGTCGCTCTCGGGGGCAGAGGACAGTGGAACAGCAGCAGCAGATCTGACAGATCTCCTGCAGTCTTTCATACACTTTGTGCAGCAGAGCTGCAGCAGATCTGACAGATCTCCAGCCTGAACAATACAGCTGACAGGTCTGCAGCATAGACTCCGCGCAGCAGATCTGTGAAGCAAATGTATGTGCACGACAAACAGTTTTCTTTTTTTTTTCCTTTGTTTTTTACATGATGATTCCCACAGCTATTCTGGGGTGTGTAGGAAGAGAGTCGCAGAAGGGCCGAAAGCACGTTGTATCGACTCAAATACTGTA